GCGTCTGCCTTCGGCTCAGGTCATGATCCCAGGGTCCTGGGATCAAGTCCCCCATCAGGCTCCCTGCTCGGTGGGGAGCCTGCTTCTTCTCCCTCTGCCTGCCGCTCCCCCTGCTTGTGCGCTCTCTCTCTGACAAATAAATAAATAAAATCTTAAAAAAAAAAAAAAAAGCCTGCAGATTAAGGGGCAAAAGGAGGACTTCTAGATGCCCAGATACCCTTGGGTTTCTGAAGTTTAGTTCTAAGGGCATCTGTATTTGTACTGGATATGGGAAGGCCCTTGCCTCAGGGCCCCAGATCCCAAACTCATCCCATGCACTATGGCACGGAAGGTAAATCATTTCCTAATGGGAAGCGGAAATGTCCAAAGGGAGTCACACGCACAGAGTTGCTGTGAATCACCCTTGTGTTAAGGGGACGTCAGGGACTTTGTCAAAAGGAGAAGAAGGCATAAGAAGGTCAGGGAAGAGGCACTGGCATCCCATTGATCTGACCAGAAGTGCTGATAAGTGAGAAACCTAAGGGCACAGTCCCCACTCGAAGCCCTGGGCCTCCTGGGCAATGAGCATCTAACACTTGAGAAGCATCCCAACACCAGTCTCTTTTTTCTTCCCAATATTCTTTCTTTTTCTCCACCAGAAAATTATTATATAGGCTCCACCCATCTCCTCAGGAGCCAGAGTAAGGTAGTGGGAAAAGATGAGCTTGCCCGGTATGGTCTCTTAGCTGCATCAGTTGGGATGCGGTGAGATGCCAGCCCCTGTCATGTGCATGGAAGAAGGTTCTTGAATAGAGCCTTAGAAGGGTAGTAAATGAAGATTTAAGCAGGCAAATGGGGGATTTTTATCAGAAAAGAATAAGCACAGATGATTACCCAGATTTGACCAGACACTCATGGGTCTTGAGAACGTCCTTGAGAAATATAGTGCGCAGTGGTTCTCGGTCCTGGTAGAAAAAATAAGTAAAGAAAGATAAATGAGGCTATCCATATAATGCCACAACCCAGATCAGCTAACCAACGTACCTCTCTGGTCAGAGTTGGTTGGCTAAAACCAGGCTGCAAACAAGGCAAGGTCTCAAAATAACTATCAAGTGAGGAAAAAATTCTAAGAAGGTACTCTGTGGTTCTGACCACAGAGCAGCTCAGTGCATAGCGGGAGGGAGGAAGTTAGGGCCATGTTGCTGTATCAATATAAAGATGCGCACACAAGAGAGATGGAAGTGGGACGGAGGCACCTCTTAAGCCCGTGTGTGTGTCCGCATCTCTACTCATGCACACACATGTGAGTGTTATTCACGGGCCTCTTGTTTCCATGACCTGTCAGAAGGGCCCCAGAGCGCCTACAAACCTGCTCACACTTGAAGTAGCAGATAGTAAAGTCATCAAGTGCAAAGAAGCGACGTTTCCAGCTCTTCCGCTGAAATAAAAAGTAAAGAGCAGGACATTTAGAAGAGGCCCCAGCATTCCAGAGAATGTTCTAGTTCTACAGTCCTGGGTACCCAGCCGGAAGGAAGCTGGGCGCCCACATTCAGACGTCGGGCCGCAAAGACTTCTTCCCATCAGGGGCAATGCCTCCAACATGCAGGGGTGAATGTTTAGTCCCAAACCTCCCACCGGTTTGGGAGGTAGTTTAGGAGGCAGCGAGTGCCGAGTGCCAAGGAAGGCAGCTCGTCCTGCCAGCCAGCTGCCCCCTGTGCTACGCCCACAGCCCCCAGGAGTCACCAGGACCCACTCGAGCCCCAGCGCCGACACTTACCACATTCCCTTGCTTCACACAGTAGCCGCTCTTAATGAGGGGGGGCCCGGAGGGAACACGGCTGCCTGTCGTGGGGATGTAACTCTGAGACCTTCGAAGGATGGTGTGGGACCCGGGCTCACTCCCTTCCTGCCCATCCCCACCATTCTACAAGGAAAGAGCATCAGATTAGCACCTCCCCTCGTTCCTCATGCGGCAAACCGGGTACCTCACCCAGCCCTCTCTGGCGAATCCTCTCTTGCCTCTTTACCCATGATGGCAATTAAGGAAGAAATAAACAAGAAAGGGAACATTCGCATGCTCCTGTCAGGCACTGTACTGGGTAATGTCACAGAACAAGGCTCGGGGAAGTTGGGCAGACCCAGCAGAAAGGTAAGGACAGAGAATACAAACCAGAAGAGGGGAGAAACACCCTAATGGGAGGAGGGACAGTGGGCTTGTTTCCAGGCTCACCTGCCTTCCCCAGCTCCATTTCCCATGTGATTTACAAGTGCTAGTCTCCCACATATGGTACAGGACCATACTGGCCACACAGCCTCAAGATAACGGTGGCCTCGATTTCTGCACTGCTATTCTTCATACCCACCGCCGTCCTGGATTTTCTTGACTACCCCATCTGCACTGGCTCCCCCACCCCCAACTATCTGCCCTCTGTGCTGACCTCTATGCCCATCACTGGCCCACTATGGATGCTCCCAAAGCCCCACCGGCCCCTGGCAGCCCCAGGCCCCAGCACCTGGTTGATGGGCGTGTGTACCACCACCCCTCCAATGATCTCTGTCTTGTAGGCCACCTGTGGCTTCTTCTCTAGGGCTGGAGGAGCTGGTAGGCTTTTTATAACTTCAGTAGTCAGGGCCAGGTTCCCAACTTTGGGTACCTGGAAGAAAGACAGCTTAGGATAAATGGAGGGGGGGAAGCACTGGGGAAGGGGCAAGAAAAGCTAATGTACCAAATTCTAGGAAGACCTCCTCTCCTCCCCAGTCCTTCCATCAACCCATACCTGAACATGAGGAACTCTGCCGGCAGAGCCCGCTCTACACACACACACACACACACACACACACACACACACACACACAAGTACTGAGCACACACTATGAGCCAGCCCTTCCCTGACTACAGACCAAAGACAAAACAGCAAACAGACACGTCCTGCCCTCACGGCATGGACATTCTAATAACAGAGACTGACAAAAAACGCAGAGCCGAACAGTCAGAATAATTACAAATTGCTATGAGTGCTGTAAAAAAAATAAACAGGAGCTGAGATAGAGAGCAGCAGGGGAACTACTTGAAATGGGAGTGGTTAGTGGAGGTCTCCAGAGGAGGAGATGTTGGAACAGTAACCTGGAGATGAACAGGAACCAGGGATGTAAGGAGGAGAAAGCATGCTAGGCTGGGGAACAGGTAACATACATGGGGGCCATGGTACAGAATTAGGGGAGCATGAGCTTCGGAGCCCAAGGACCTGGAGTACCAACTCCTGACCTATCACTAACTCACTCAGTGACCTTCAGCAAATCATTGAACCTCTCTCTAGGCCATAACTGTCCCGTGTAGAAAATGAAAAGGGTAATAATATTCATGTCATAGAGTCACTGTGCTTATCAAATGACAGAGTATATATACTTAAAAACTTCAGAAACACAAAAATATAAAAGTACAGTTGACTCTTGAGCAACGCAGGGGATAAGGGTACTGACCCCTACATAGCCAAAACTCCATGTATAACTTTCAACTCCTCCCAATTTTAACTACTAATAGCCTACTATTGACCAGAAGCCTTACTGATAACATAACATCGTAAATTAACACATATTTTGTATGTTCTATGTATTATATGCTGTATTCTTATAATAAAGTAAGCCAGAGGGGCGCCTAGGTGGCTCAGTCGTTAAGCGTCTGCCTTCGGCTCGGGTCATGATCCCAGGGTTCGGGGATCGAGTCCTGCTTCGGGCTCCCTGCTCAGTGGGGAGTCTGCTTCTCCTTCTCCCTCTGCTCCTGCTTGTGTTCCCTCTCTCACTGTGTCTCTCTCTGTCAAATAAATAAAATCTTTAAAAAAAAAAAAATAAAGTAAGCTAGAGAAAAGAAAATGTTATTAAGAAAACCATAAGGAAGAGAAATACACTTCCAGTCCTGTAAAAAAAATCTGCATATAAGTAAATACATGCAGTTCAAACCCATGTGGTTCAAGGGTCGAAAGTATTACAAAATACTTTAACTAACATTTCACGAATGGTATTAACATTTACAAACACAGCCCTTTTTGAAGAGTTATCTCTGTTCCTCTCCCTGGCAGAATTAGGGCACCACAGACAATCACAGAATCACAGAATTTTTATGGCTCTTTTGACACCACAGGCCACAGATTGCAAACTGGTGGCGTGAAGGCAGATTCTGGCCAAACAGTGTTTTGTTGGTCTGATGCAGTGTGTTTTCCAATCTACATTTAAAGTTTGGGATAGTTCACCTAAAAATTCAGACTTCCAGCCAAGCAGCGTTTCTCTCTTTAGATGGAGAACATTCTTCAATTTGCCACTATCCCTACCCTGCTCCTCACCACCGAGGCCACGAGTCAGGTGCTGTTCATCCTCATTTATGTTGCTTTCCTTCCTCCTTGCTCACTTCACTCTTTTATACTGGCAATTCTGATGAAATCTTTCATTTTGTAAGAAAATAGGAGAGGCCCAGGCCAGTCAAGTCAATGGCCCAAAGCCATGGTTAATAACTGGACAGAGACTAGACCCTAACTGCCCACTGGGGCGATATCCACAGGATCACGGAGCCTGTCCTTCACACAAACTCAGCACCTCTGTGGGTCTGCAGACTGCACGAGTAATGCTAACATCTTCACTGCTTCTACAGCCTCGGGAATCAGAAGGAACTAAGTAAGAATCTAGACCTTTCAAGAGCTCATGATTCAGGGCCCTTGGAGAATTCTGTCAAGGACGAGACCGAGGACCACTCCATTCCATGTCCGTTCAAAGGAGGAAGAACTCCGAGATGACACTGGAGTCCCAGAAAGAAGATGAGACTCCTCTTCCTGGCCTGTGCATTCCATTTACATAAACAAGGGTGACCTCCGCCCACCAGCTCTCCAGATGGAGCCAGAAATCCACCTTCTCTTTCCCTTCAGCTGTCCGCACAGCAGTTCCCACTTCTATGAGCCCCATTCAGCGTCAGGCAATGTGCCACACTCTGCTGCATGATCTCTATCCCAAGCAATCTTATGAAGTAGGCATTATCTTCTCCTTTTTATAGATGAGATAAATGTGAGCTCATTAAAACGAAGTAAGTTTCCCCTAGGACTGCGGGACTCTCCATTGCTGAACGTCCCACTACCCACTTATGCCACCCTTTCTTTCCCTGAGCTTCACTACTGTGTGACGGGACTCCTTTGAGGATGTTGATTATTGCTGGGATGTTTAGTGACATCACCACCAAGGAACAACAGAAACTGCCCCCACATGACCTAAATGAACTCCAGCCAAGAAGAAGGAGGGGAGTAGCCCTTTAGAGCTCCCAGTGGCCAGGAAAGGATTCATGTTAGCTCAGCTGTTGTGTTGCCTCTCGGAATCTTGTTAGCCCTTGTATCACGAGCTGCTTCTGCCTGTCTGCCCAGAGCTTTTCCAGAGCTTCCTGAGACTGAATCAGCCTGTGGAGGACAAAGGCAACAATAACTATGCCCCAGAACTTGAAAACAAGGTCATTCTTTTGGTTTGGCCATATCCCCAGAGGCCTAAATTCAAGGTATGCCCTCTTCCATCCACCTGTGAAGTATCCTCTGATGTGGGGAGAGCCTATGGATCTCATTTGCAATGTGAAATGAAAATTACAGGGACACGGGATGCCTGGCTGGCTCAGTTGGTGAAGCATGTGACTCTTGATCATGGGGTTGTAAGTTCGAACCCCATGTTGGGTGTAGAGGAAGGAAGGGAGGGAGGGAGGGAGGAAGGGAGAGATGAAGGGAGGGAGGGAGGGAGGAAGAAAATTACAGGGACTCATCTTATTTCCGACCAGGCAAGGCTAGACGGCAAGGAGGAATAATCCAATGGGGACAGGGGGCTGTGCTTTACCTTTACTGCTCAATTTTCAACTGTTTTGGGAAATGTAGTAAGTGGAATAATGTCCCACTAAAACTATCCACCCATAAACTCAGAATGTGACCTTATTTAGAAATAGGGTCTTGCAGGTGTCGTTAAATTAAGATCAGGTCATACTGGTTTAGGGTGGGCCCGAAGTCCAATGACTGATGTCCTTATCAGAAGAAGAGAGGACACGGGGACACAGGCATACAATGATGGAGGCAGAGAGAGGAGTAATGCAGCTGCAAGCCAGGGCACACCACGGACTGCCCGGAGCCACCAGAAGCTAGAAAAGGAGCCACCCATTTGCTCTGGTAGTCCCACAAAATTCATATAGGAATACTAATACTCTGAGAGAATCCAATTCCTTAAATAGGACATGTCAATCATTTCTTCAATGACAAGGACCCAGTGGCCTTAGCACAAAATGAACAGTGATCCGTGGGCAGAAAAACTGGATCCATCCTGGCTCCTTGACCTTGGGCAAGTCATTTTATTCTCTAGGCATTTCCGCCACCCCATGTATAAATGGGTATAATAACGCTTGCCCTTCCTACTTAAGGCTTTATCTGAAGCTACAATGAAGCCACATATGTAAAAGTGGTGTGTAATCTAACATAATTTACAATGGTTATTCTTTTTCAATATTTTCATAAACTCTTCTAGGTCTTGGAAGTCACAGGTCCTGGGTTTGAATCTCAGCTCTACCACTTATTCAACTCTAGACTTTGGGCAACTCTGATTTCCATTTTTCTCATCTAAAAACTGGCAGTAAAACCACTTATCTCACAAGAGTGATGTCAGAGGGGTGAATAATATAGCACCTGTGAAAGCTTGGCTCAATACATTATCTGTTCTTTCTTTCATCTCTGTAGCCCCCAACGTGCCTGATGCTTCACTTGTATATAAGGCGTCCTAAAGGGAGTGTGCATGCCATGGATATGGTGCCCCAGCCCCACATCCTCCCTCTTCCCAGCCTCCCTGAGGAAGGACACAAGATACAGGACAATATGACAGTGGAGAAAGGAGTAAACCCTTCCAGGGCACAAACAGATTAGGAGATAGAGTGCCCCTCCTCTTCCTTCTATCCCACAGGACCTTTGGCAGGGGTGAAGAGATGTATGAACCAAGCCAAGGAAAGTAAGGGGGATCCTGGAGATGATGGAGACCCTGCAGCAAGCTTTGACATTCCAGCAAGCCTCTGGACTCCCCAGCCTCTGGGCACCCCCATGTTCCTTCCCACTCCTGTGGCTTATAACTTCTGTTCTGCGGGGCCAAAAAGGGGCAGGGGGAACTCACTGCTTAGAGCAAACCCTATGAGGGCTGAAAGGCCCTCACCACCTCACAGGCTGGGTAGCCCAGTGTACCAAACAGGAACAGAGGAGGAAAGCCCAGAGGCAAGGCTGAAAGAGAATAAAGTATTAGACATTGAATGAAATGCCAAAACTGTATAAGACACAGAAGGGTGAAGACCCGACCATGCATGAAGAAAACCTGTACTAAACTCAGCACTCTAGAGCCGTGTGCACAAGCAGAGGAATGTGAGTTAGCTGCAATCCCCCTCCCTCCCCTCAGTTTTCTCTCTTTTCCCAGGTTTACCAAGGTTTGTCAAAATAACAAGCTAGCAAACCAGACCACCTCAATGACAGAACTGTACTCTGCCTGGGTCTGGCATCACAAGAGTTGAATAGGTGTATAGATTTCTTCTATTAATTTATTCACAGAAACCCTGAGGTATTTGGGAGAATAATCTGCCCCAGTACATAATGGTTACTACCAGAAATGACTAGAATGTAAGCATTTCTGACTGTATGATACAGAAAATCAATCTTCCAATTACAAAATGGGCAGAAGACATGAACAGACACTTCTCCAACGAAGACATCCAGATGGCCAACACAAACATGAAAAGATGCTCATCATCACTCATCATCAGGGAAATGCAAATCAAAATTACAATGAGATACTGCCTCACACCTGTCAGATGGCTAAAATCCACGACACAAGAATCAACAGGTGTTGGCGAGGATGTGGGGAAAGGGGAACACTCTTGCACTGTTAGTGGGAATGCAAACTGGTGCAGCCACTCTGGAAAACAAGTTCCTCAAAAAGTTAAAAATAGAACTTCCCTACAATCCAGCAATCGCACTACTGAGCATTTGCCCAAAGAAACAAGAACACTAATTCAAAGGGATACATGCACCTCTATGTTTATAGTAGCATTATTTACAATAGGCAAGATATGGAAGCAGCCCAAGTGTCCATCAAGTGATGAACGGATAAAGAAGAAGTTACATACATATATATAATGGAATATTACTCAACCATAGAAAAGAATGAAATCTTGGAGCACCTGGATGCTCAGTCGGTTAGGCATCTGCCTTCAGCTCAGGTCATGATCTCCAGGTCCTGGGATGAAGCCCTGTGTTGGGCTCCCTGTTCAGCAGGAAGTCTGCTTCTCCGGTCCCTCCCCCACCCCCGGCTTGTGATCTCTCCCTGTCAAATAAATAAATAAAAATCTTCTAAAAAATAAAATTAAAAAAAATTTAAAAAGAATGAAATCTTGCCATTTACAATGACATGGATAGAGCTAGAGTATTACGCTAAGGGAAATAAGCCAGAGAAAGACAAATACCATATGATTTCACTCATACGTGGCATTTAAGAAATAAAACAAGCAAAGGGGAAAAAAATGAGAGACAAAGCAAGAAATGGACTTTTAACTATAGAGAACAAACTGATGGTTACCAGGGGGGAGGTAGGTGGGGGATGGGAGAAACGGGAGATGGGGATTAAGGAATGCACTTGTCAGGATGAGCAGAGGGTGATGTATGAAGTGTTGAATCACTGTATTATACATCTGAAACTAATATAACACTGTATGCTACCTAGAATTAAAATAAAGACTTAAAATAAAAAAATAAAAATAAATTTAAAAAGAATATCAATCTTCTCAGCATACAAACCACGGTTTGGATGCCACAAGTCTGCCTACTATTGATGAAAGGTCTAGTTTTTTTCCAAAACATAAAGTTTTCCCTCTTCTCTTTCCTACCCTTTTCCCTTTTCTGTATTTTTTTAAGATTCATTTATTTATTTGACAGAGAGAGAACACAAGCAGGGGGAGTGGCAGGCAGAGGGAGAGAGAGAAGCAGGCATCCCACCAAGCAGGGAGCCTGATGTGGGGCTCGATCCCAGGACCCTGGGATCATGACCTGAGCCAAAGGCAGACACTTAACCGACTGAGCCACCCAGGAGTCCCCCTTTTCTGTATTTCTAAGGAAGAAGAAAGGAGTTTACCAGCAAGTCAAAGAAAATGAAAGTATTCATAGGTCAGTGAACCAGCTCAGTGATGCTGTCAAATGGAAAGCTTTTTCAGGACAGGTTGGTGGGTGGCCTGGACCAACCCCTAGGCAACCTCTTAAAGGAAGAAGAGTACTCCCTTACCCTGCTCCCAAGCCAGTAAAAAGTTCTGACTTCCCTCTTTATATGCTTTTCCCTTTACTCTGCTTCTCCTAGTCAGCAATCCATTTTCCAATTCCACCACGTTCTGAATCAGCATGCCAGAATGACCCAAAACACGACTGACCAGGAGCCCTCCCAGGAAGCACCAAGGGGACACTCCATACACTTCCCCTTGAACTTGATTCAAACTCAAACTCTCAGTTCAACTTGTGGTTCGTCAGCCAAGGTGTAAGAAGAGGTAGGGGGAACTGGGTCTCAACAGGCTCCTGGGAAAGCCCCTGCTGTTGGCTGAGTGTCTCCCCACCACAAACAGGCCACGTGCTGAAAAGAGGCACTGAGTCCCTCCAGAAAGAAGAAGGAATCGTACGTACGGTGATCTTGCTGGCTTGGTTCAGGGCTTCCACCCAGTCCTTCAGATCCTTCTGGTCATTAGCTTGAAGAAAATACCTCTGAGAGAGGGCATTGATGACTGCAGTAGTCATGGGGGAAGCAAAGAGAAAAACCCAGGTCAGAACACATGCAAGACAAAAAGACGCCACAAAACTAAGGTGCTTGAAGTAGCAAGGGGGAGAACTCCACAGAGCACTGAAGACATCTGCCATGGTGCAAAGTCAGCTGCATGAGTATCTGGGAAGCAGCAGGCTACAGTTGCTCTCTCTTTGGAAGTGTGAATTATTCCCTTAGCCACGAGAACAACACCTGTTCGTGTTTTGAAACCACCCCCTTCATGTGCTGTTGTACAGGGCTGAGGCTTCTAGTCCACCCACCATCAATAAGACACGAGCTTGAACTGCTTTCTAGAGGCGCTAGCCAATTTAGAGTCATGATGATACAGATAAAGTTTTGGACCCAGTGCTCCTTGTTTCCACTGGCACAACTGGCCTGGCTTGGGAGTCTTGCCTGTGGTCGGAAAATGGAACAAAGCTTGCCTGAGATCAATCTGTGACCCTGACCTCATTCTCAACCTGTTCTTTCCTCTGAGCACTCCATGAGGTCAATTGTTTTACTTCTGGGTTCATTACTTATCTTGTTTAGATCTGCTGACCACAAAATCTGAGATAGTCATTTCTGAGCTTAGCAATGATATTTGAAAGAAACGGGACAACGAGAACACCAAAGAAGCCTGAACCAACCCGAAGTCAGGAGAGAAGACAGCTCAAGTGGCCATTTTATTCTCCTAGCAAAAATAAGCCAGAACTATAGGAGGCGAGCATCACGGGGTAGACAGAGAATTCATGAGTTCATTCACTCATTCAGCAAATATTACTGAGCATCCACTATATGCCAGGAACCACGGTACAAGCTGGGGATACAGCAGTGACAAAACAAAGGAACAGCCCTGCTTCACAGAGCTGACATGCAGAACCACCCTAGATAAACAAGAGAGGCTACTCATTAGCATCTGCTTGTAGCACTTAGCACATTCCTGAGAACACAGTAGGAGCCAAATAACGACTGATGACTTAATGAGTAGGGGCATCCAATGAGTGACCCTGCTTCCTGTGTCACTCCCAACTCTGGCAACTCATGTGGCAATGCTGAGATGCTCAACAGGATACTCCTTTTCTATTGTTCTACCTTTCCTGAGCATCTGAGAGGAGGGTTCCCAGAAACTACTAGAAGATACCCTGGACCCTGCCCTGCGGAGTCAGGAAAACAGAACCATCGCTGGTCCCCATACCTCCGTCTTACGGTATTAACTATCTTCGCAGTGAGACCAAGGAAAGCTAGGCCCGTCGCCATGACTGAAGTCACGCCTACACGCAGAGGGCAAGTCACATGTGATCACAGGACCGTCTGCGCACAAAGAGGAAGCTGCTGCAGCAGTGTTCAGAAAACCCAGTCCCCAGTTCAGTACTTACCAAAGCAAAATGGAGTTTTGGGTTTCTGCTTTGGTGTAGCTATGCTCACCTAAACCAAATAAAAAATAAAAGAAACAAGAACATGTTTCTAAGACGGTCGTAAAGCATTTTTTTTCAAAGTTTTTCTTTTTTTTTTTTGCTGTGAAACTTTCCACACAAAGAAAGAAGAGTATATAAAACATATATAAACATTCTAAAGAATAAAAATTAAGTAGAAACCCTGTACTCACCATTCAGATTAAGAAATAGGCCATTATCAGTCCTATTTCTTAGAAGCCCTTGTGTACCCCTCCCTGATAGAATCCCATCCCCACCCCTCAAGGGATAACCACTATCTTGCTGTCTACCTTAATCTTCATCTTTGCAAAAACACTTTGAAAAGCCACCCAAGGGGCACCTGGGTGGCTCGGTCGTTAAGCGTCTGCCTTCGGCTCAGGTCATGATCCCAGGGTCCCGGGATCGAGCCCCTCATCGGGCTCCCTGCTCAGCGGGAAGCCTGCTTCTCCCTCTCCCACTCCCCCTGCTTGTGTTCCCTCTCTCGCTGTGTCTCTCTGTCAAATAAATAAAATCTTTAAAAAAAAAAAAAAAGAAAGAAATTCCCCCTGTGTATCACCCTGTCCTGGGCAGAGACAGGAAGCTAATGAGAAGTGGAAGGAGAGATCAGACTACTTTAAGATGCTTCAAACTGGGTGTGAGTTTGGAGAAGAATCCTGACTTCTGCAAGGAAGAAGGTGAGAAGTAGCTGGTGCTCAGTGACAAACCTCAAATCAGCCTAAATTATTTACAGTGTTAAGTGCCTGCTGTGTGTATCCTGGTGCTGTGGGCAATACGTAAGGAGGGCAAGGTCTAACTCCTTCCCAATAAAAGAACCAAAAAAAGCAAAACTATACAATTAGATGTCAGACTGTGTGTTGTACGCCAAGAGTGAGAATAATTCCAAAAAAGGACTGATCACAGGCAGAGTTGGCTTCGGGAATGAAGACTTGGAAGGACGTGGCAGGCACTGGGCCCTGGGTGACATGGGCACTGGGTAGAGGAGGAACGTGAGACTAAAGACCCACGTGGGAAGGGACAGCAAGACGGGGGTCAGAAGGACCTGGGGCCAAATCCCGACTCCACTTAGAGAAAAGGTATTTTAGGAATATTTTAAAATCTTTGTGAGCCTTTGTACCCCAGCTGTAAAATGGAGATGAGAAGACCTCCCTTATCAGGCTGGCCAGCCCAAAGATCAAGGTATAAAGTATCTAAGGCATCTGCTACAATGTACGGCGTATAGTGGTCACTTGAAGCACATTTCACTGACCGTCATTACTGTCTGAGTGGAGATGGCTCTTCTTTCTGGCTAAAATGTGTTAGCTTCTTCAATTACTCACACACATACAGCACACTCGTGTCATCAACTACTGAGGAGGTGAACGCAAAGCAGGGAGGAAATCCCCGCCCTTATCACATCTACTTCCCAGGCTACGGGTCGCCTTTCAATTCGGTTCAGTTCAATTCGACTGAACTCAATTTAACAAATGTTTGAGGACTACACAGATGCCCTAAAGCTTCCTGACTGGGTCTGGGGAGGCCGCACATTCTCAGAGACCTGGAGCCTGCAGAGCCTTGCAGACTTCCTTCCCTGATGATCTTCAGTTCCCTTAATTCCTTCACTAAGAATTCAGTCTGGCTCTGGCAGCGAGGGACTCCGGCCAAGGGCGGAGCACTCTTGGGACTGAACGTCGTCTGGGCTCGCTAAGCTGCCCACCATGCCCAGGTAGCCATACAGCTACCTGCCCGCACGGGCCCTCTGGAGTCAGGGGAGGCAGGAACCGTCTCTGAGGATGAGCCATGTCCAATCTCTCCTCTGCCCACCATCAATGTCTGGAACCACACTTCTGAACTTCCATCTACGGCCACTTGCACAGATGACAAATTGCCACCGGGAACTTCCTAATCTCTACTCTGCAACTGTCATTTGCAAGAGTCAGTACAGCCCCAGTTCAGTCCCTGCTCCCTTGGGTCATGTGGCATTTGTCGGCATGCGAGACTGTCCCATGCCTCCACGTGAGAACAGTCTGCCTGTTGCTAATTGCCTCCCTGATGATGCTGGCTTGACTTCACACCATCCGTGGGATAGAAAGACACAGTCTCTAAAGACGGCAGATTGGGATGCCTGGGTGGCTCAAACAGTTAAGCGTCTGCCTTCGGCTCAGGTCATGATCCCAGGGTCCTGGGATCAAGTCCCCCATC